TTGCCTTGAAAGGAACAAGTGGCTTAGCTGTGATCCTTGTATCTTGTAAGGAAAAAGGGCTGTGGAGACCAAAACTGGAATGCTGGCAGAGCGAACAGGTGGCATAAGGGATGACCAACCCTGTGTTCCCAGGACAGCGACAGCTCTGCTGTCAGGCCATGAGCACGTGCCTGCAACAACTGGAAGGTGACAGCCGAGCTGGGAGTAGCAGTGAATGTTTGCCACTCCAGGACTCTGCACAGACCTGAATGACCTGCTATCTCTCCTTACTACATACTTGGTGCAGCTACAGACAGCACTACTGAGTTGTCTTTTTGGTTGGAATTTAAATTAATTTCAAACGTATAACATCACTTTCACACATTGCATCAGCATAATAAAACTCAGCTGTTCATTATCTGTTACTTCACTATTCATTAGTTAGCAACAGCCTATCTTCCTTTTCAGAATTCCTAAATTAACAGAGCTTGTAATATAATAATTGTATAAAACGGTTGTTAAAACATGGTTCCACTGATGGTTTTTAAAGACACAACTTCAGAGCTTTCCTTCTGCAGTCTTCTACCTTACATCTAATCTTATATGTAGAGATTAAAGACTCTCATGTGCCCACAAGACCTACTCCAACAACGCTAGTTGAAACGAAAAATACAGAGATATCTCATGAAGAAAAGCATGGTGATATTCTCATCCAATTTGCCTCACTAATACAGCTAATAAAGAAATGCCAGACTGCCTCTGGACAGCAGCAGTAGAGCTTTAGCAGGGAGTCAGTTGGCAGATGGGCACGTCTTTATCCAACTTTTTTCCTTTTATTTCATAAAAACAACTGGATAAAAAACACTTAAACCAAGCTTGGACTTCTACTCCTAACACTTCATCTGTTGCTGATCATTTGTAGCGGTACAGCAAGACCCTTTAGTCTTCAGATGAAAAATCAATACCAAGCACATTTTTAAGAAATGCTTCTCTGAGTATCCATTCATGAAACCATCACTGACCAGTTGGTGAAAAATCCTAGAAAAATTAACATCTGCTTTCCCCTCATAGTTACATGGACAGGAAAGAAGAATATGGCAAAAGATCATATCATCTCCTAGCAATTCAAACACACACTTGCCTAGATTCTACTACCCAATGATCTTAAGAATGCTAAATAAGAAACATGAGTGCTGGGGAGTCAATTAATGCTCTTCTCATGCAGAAGTGTTTTTCACGTGGTAAATCAGAAATTATAAATTCATGGCTTTCAACCATACATTTTAGCGGAGGTTAGCTTCTCCTGACAGTATGAAAAAGCAAGGAAAGAGGAGAGACAATTTCTTAAGTGTACAACAAGGGAGGAAAAACAGCTTTATTAACAGGGTACAGGGGATACACCACTCAGTGTTATAATCATCTTTGCTTTGAGATAATTTTGGATTGATGAATTGGAGGCAGATGGTCAGCAAAACAATCCTTGGTCCTTAACAGTGGTAGAAGCGTACAACCCCTGTTACTGCCAAATACCAGACATGTTTCTCTTGACATGCCCCTCTTTGAGAATGTGCAGACTAACAGAATATGAAGATCAGCTCACTTTCCCTGCAAGATTATAAACTTTGCATAGTGTGCATCTTCCTCAAACATGAGAACAACTTTCTTCAAAGTTCCTTTAGTGGAAGCCTCAAGCTCTAGCATCAAGATACACAGGAGTGTTTTTACCAGACAAGTGAAAAACCAACTAGCTAATTCCTTAGTAAAAGAAAAAACAAACAAAAAATACCCCTCTGTATTCCTCCTGCTAGAGACTTGCCAGGAATGTAAGACACCTTCCGTTCTGAGAAGGAAACTCATTAATCCATTAAAATGGAGAACTGCTATTTATGAGCTCCAAGCTCACTGTCAGTTTCTAGCTGGGGATACTTTGCATGCTCCCCTTACTCTTTGTGAAGTTTGTGAACTACCCTGGTATCCTGGGCAACAGGTTCTTTCTTTGAATTAAACAAATATCTAAATTTTACATCACTGACAGAACTGTTCAGTTTTATGTCCTAAAGCTATCAAGTTAAAGGTGAACTTGAAAGCCAAAGGCCTGAGATTAAGCACTGGGAAAATAAGCCCTATTTAAATATTAACCACTTCGTAATTCTGCAGATGACTGGCAGCTAAATACCCATTTTAGCTGCTGCATTCTACTTGTAAAATGACACCTGATCTGCTCCCTTGGCAAGTTAGAAGCAGCTTCTTTCTCGGACCAACATTTTCCACATATTATCATACACTGTCTGGTTTACAAGTAGGCCACACACTGTCTTAACAACCACCTTAAAGAAACTAAAATACAGACCTTGGCTCTTTTTGCCGACTCGTCTGACCTGAAGACGCGTGGATTAGCAAGAGAACAAGAAGTGCTAAAGTTGGGCAACCAGACAGCAGCGGTGCAGCAATACTTCCCACTCCCGCCCCGCAGCAATCAAACCCAACCCCAACCCTGACTCCGCACAAGTCCGGCAGCGGAGCAGAAGGGGCGCGTCCCTCCGGGCCCGCACCGGCCCTGCCCCTCGGGGTGCCACGGCCGGGCCAGGGCAGCCACTGCTTCCCGCACAGACACAGCCTGGAAAGCCACAGCACGGAACAGACTGAACACGAACTATAACACACTCAGAGAAGCGGGAGGTTTTATTTTGTTTCGCTGCGGTTTTTATTCATGTCGGTCCGCCGGCGGACCGCTCGACTTCCTCTACGTTCGCCCCGTCCCGCCCAAGCACAGCGCGGGGCGCTGCACCGGGGCCGGGCTCAGCTGCGAGCGGAGCGAAGGGGCCGCCAGGAGCAGCAGCGCGGGGGCTCCCCCGCCACCGCGGCCCCGGCCCCGCTCCGCCCGCACTTGCCGAGCCCCGGCCGCCCCGCGGCCGCCATGGCGCCGCCGCCGCCTCCGCTCACCCCCGCTCGCCCGCGTCCAGGCCGGGCTCTCCACGCTCACCTGGGCGATGCCGGCGCCCATGAGGCCGCCGCCGATGACCGTCACATGCTTGATGATCAGCTTCTTGGCGGCCGCCGTGGCGGCGTCGGAGGAGGCGGCGCGCACGAACTGGCGCGTGGCGAAGGCCATGGCGAGAGCGCGGAGCGGGCGAGCGGCGGGGCCGGGCCGGGCCGGGCGGGGCGAGGGCTGCGCTCCGCCCCGGGGGGCGGTGGCCGGGCCCGGCTGCCCGGCCGCGGGGAACAGGCGCGGTGGGTCTTTCACCTACGCTACCTCGGATTCCTTAAGAGGAGTCAAGCAGCAACGCCGAGGTCAGAGCTCCCGCTGGCCCCCGGCTGGCGCTGGCTGCGCTGATGCCCGTCCTTTGCCACAGAGGTCACCGCGCTGCCTCCTCAGCGCTCACCTTCCTGCTGCCGCTGCTCATGTTCACAGAGTTAATGGGGCTGGAAAAGACCTCTGAGATCACCGAGTCCAACCCATGACCGAACACCATGTCAAACTAGACCATGGCACCAAGTCTTTCCTTAAACACCTCCAGGGACTGTGACCCCACTACCTACCAATGTCTAATCACCCTTTATGTGAAGAAATTCTTCCTAATGCTCATCCTAAACCTCTCCAGGTGCTGCTTGAGCTTATGTCTTCTTGTCCTAGTGCTATTTGTACGGGAGAACAGACCGATTCCCACCTGGCTACAACCTCCTTTCAGGCACTTGTAGAAAGCGACAAGGTCTCCGGAGCCTCCTTTTTCTCCAGGCTAAACAGCCCCAGCTCCCTAAGCTGCTCCTCACAGGACTTACCCTCTCGGCCCTTCACCAGCTCCATTGCCCTTCTCTGGACCCTCTCCAGCACCTCAGTGTCCTTCCTGTTCACATCATTAGAAGCTCTCTCTCTATAACAAGTGTTTCCTGACTAGAAGGGGATTTTATTTCCAGGCTAGCACAAGTCATATAGTAAACAACAACAAAAAATTATTTCCTTTATAAATACTAACAATCGAATCATATCAGATGCAGACAGACCTGATTTTCCATGTATTTAATTTATCTCCAGAACAACCAGCACTTCAAGTCAGCAACAGCAGCAGCTGACAGTACAGCAATTACAGCATATTCTACTTAAGTCAGCATCAGGGTAAACATTGAGCAGCTTGTTTGAGTCAAATAAAAAATAAGAGGATTCTCATATCTCTGCACTTTGTACCAAAAGCCCAATGCAAAAAAATTCCTCATTTCCTCACTCAGCCTCACCTGACAGTAGGTTAGGCAGGAGCAGGAAGTGGTTGTGAGAACAGCTTTACTCAAACAGAGACTCAGAGTTACTGTTCTTTGTGTATACAAATGACAGCTGAATGGGTAACTAATGAATTTCCCTTAAAAAAAAAAAAAAAAAAAAAAAAAATAAAAAGCACTATGCCAAGTAACCTGCAACCTAAGCCCAGGGTATAAGACACAATTTCTACATACAGCTGTTGCTCCTGAGTGCCCAGCTTCCAGCACACACCAGTGCTCATACTCACTCCTTCCCCACAAGCACTTCAGCTGTCTGCTCCCAGGTCTTCCCTTCTATATATAACAATCTCCTCCCTCCACCGGGCCTCCTCTAGGCCAGAGGCCCCAGCTCTCTGTCCTCCCCCCCAGGCTCTCCATAGCCACTCTTCTCCCTCTCTGCCCTCCATGCCTCTCTATGCCAGGAGTCCAACAAAACTACACCTCAGCTCCCACCCAAGATTTTCTTTCTTGCACACGGTGCATCTCCTCCTGGTGACAACTCATTTGCCCTTTTATCTTCCTCATCTCTACCCTTCTCTCTCCTTTTATTCTGTGAGTGTTTTTAAAACATTCCTTGTATCATTTGATCATAACATGCCTGGCAGTGTATTTTTCCAATTTCACTTTGTTCCCCCATGTCCTTCACTCCTCATCCAAAAACATTTTGTAATATTTTGTCACTCAGAAACTTTCATTGTAAGATGCCAAACACCACAAGCTTAGTCAGTAAGTGGAACTCATCAAAAGGACTATGCAAAGCTGTCACACACTTACTTGGGAATTACTTTATTAAAAATAAAAATATATTGAAGCAAAGTCTGAAGTAATTTTTAGACACAGATATTTTCAGCATTCAGAAACAGCCACTCTTATATATACATTTTTCAACAAGGCATTTGATATGCTTCCTCTGCTAAAAAAACAGAGGGGGAGGATATATTTACAAACACAAACCAAATCTGTTACCATTTTACTTAGTTTGCCAAAGATGGCAACACGCTTTGAAAACCACAAAGATTTTGTTGCTTTTATGCTACTGTTTAGCTACTTTGATGGCATCCTGTGAAAATTTCAGTGCATCTAGAAGGCATGAAAGGCAAGTCTTTATTGTAATTTCTAACGGCATCTTGCATTCTGACAGACACTGACGTGACTGAACCTTCGCATCAGTATTTTTAGCTTGTCACACGATGCAGCATTTGATTACAGGTATCACCAAAAACCACATTCTCAAGATACTATTTGCAGAAGAATAATTTTCAAAGGATAGTTTTCAAAGGTGACATTTTAAACTAAACTCAGCAGGCAAAACAAGCACAAATATGTACAATTTCACATACTAGGGGATTATGCAAATTGTGTTTTCTTTGGAAAATGTAAAAATAAAACACTAAAGTGCTTTTCAAATGTGTCCTCATTGATCAAAAGGACAGATATTTTGTATAAGTGATCAGTTGCACACCAACATCATTATGTTGCTTAAAAGGCATTTCAACAGAAAGATAAATATTATCAGCACTAAATTTTAGCTTCTCAGTCAAGCATATACTATTTTAAGGATTTTTCAGACAAAAATCCTGACTGTACAGAATCTATTTATTCATTGGAAAATACAAAATTAAAGAAACGAGTGCTTAATTCTCCAATACTGTTAGCTTTTAGAGCAAGTTCACTAGCATTGGTATCAAATTCAACTTTTTGTCGTGCTAAGTTTTCAAAAATTTCATACTAATAAAAAATTCAACAGAAGCTTATGAAGTCCAAAGTTAGCCCACATAAGAACTGGAAGTTCTCACACAAACAGAGGGATACCTGACCAATCAAATACATAATTCAGAAATTAAGACACTCTGTTATTCAAAACAGGTAACAGAAAACCTTAATTTAAATCCGAAATAACTATCTTACAGTCTCTGTTAGGCACTACCTGGCTTATAAAATTTCAAGTTTAAAAGTGACAGAAACAGACATTAATTTAAAGCTGAAAAGTTGATTCTTCTTTTACAATTTAGATTCAGTTTCTGCCATGGAATACCCAATTCTAAATTACAGTCAAATTAACATTCCAGTCTTGTAAACTTGACATTAGGAGGACTCCCAGTATTCTCTAGATCTCCAGTGACGGGGAGAAAACTTTCTTTAAAAGAGTACATAAGAACTTAATTCATGTGATATGAAATTCTGCTAGATAAAAAGGGGTATAAAGTAATTTAATAATAATTAAGAATAATTAAAGGTTGTTACATATTCCCCCCCAAAGATCACTTGATGTGTTTAAAAGATCTTTCAAATACAAAGCAAGACTGATCGCCCTGTTCCAAAACACCTAACATGAGGTTTCCTTGGCCATTGGTTTAACAGTGGTTAACAGCACTAAGATTCTGCATATATAAAGAATAAGGTACTGATACAGTAGTACTATATGAACTAGATATTTGTACTTCGTGTGGAAGATAACAAAGACATTATACTCAAACCTCAAGTTTGTCAGATTCCTCCTGTTCCATGGTAAATGCATAAGACCTTCACTTCTAATGCCACTGTGAAGTCATATTTGAAGAGTCCAGTTCCCAAAGCCGTAGAGGTTGTGGCAGTACTGTCCGTACTGCTGGTGAATGAAAAACTTGAGTGCAAGCCCTGAGTCCAGGATTGCACATGTCGAGTTTCTCCCTATGAGTGGGTGTTGGTCTCATCCAGACTGCAGCCACTGCTGCTGTGGGGAAAACAGTGAACGCCAAGAGGCAGCACAGATGTCATCTTGAATATCTGCTTGGCACCAGAAAGAACAGACTTCTGCTGTTTCTTGTTAGGGGATTCCGCTCTCATTTATATGCCGAAATAAAACATCTGCATCCATATGCTGCACACTTGTTTCATGTTGAGAATATGGCATATTCAAGCATCCATGTGGCCTCAAACCTGGGGTTTTCAGAGTTGGCACCTACATGTTTTAAGTGAGCCCTGATAGTCAAGTATGTTTGAATCCAGGAATCCAGACTGATTCAATCCTATCTACACCTATGAGTTACTTGCAAGAAAGAATCCTCCAAGGTTAATAGAAGTGTCATTTAGTAGTTTCCAAAAAGTGTGTGTCATTAGTTAAGCTCAATTACAATGTTTCTTTACACAGAAAATGCTAACACCCTGTCATTTGTTAATCCTTTTGATATTATACAATGTCCTTCACTCCTTTGGTAAATTAATTGTTTATGTGCTGCTTTCACAATTTTTTACAATTACTATCTGCTAAAGCATTAACAGATGTTTTGGACCATTCTCCCATAATTAACATTTGACAAACTGACAGCAATAGCTTACAGACAGGGTTTAAGCCCAGCAAGTTTTAATATCAAATTGAAAACTATGCTGTCAGATTGTTTGTGGAATGCAACAGCTGACAAAGAAAATCTTTACTTTCCAGAAGTCTAAATGGAGTGATCACTGGCTATGAAAGTATATGCAGTTAGTGTTTTCCTGAGAAAAAAAAAACAAGAGATGGAAACAAAAAGCTGGATTTTAAAAGTGCAGTATTTCTTTGCTAAATCTTTTTTGATTTTATATCATCTCTTCAAAGCTATTATGTTGAATGGACATGGAGCCAAAGTCAGACCAAACCTTCCCTCCATGGATGGTTTTGCAGCATTTTCAGGGTACAAAAAGGTAAAACTTTGCATTAAACTTGTGAAAATCAAGAACAGCTCCATTTTTGCCAACTGCTCTCCCATGCACACACGTTTACCTGAAGAACAGTTAGAAGAGATATGTTACTGGCTTTACACAGTTGATCCCTTTGTTAACACACATGTAATTCCTGTGCTACCATAGTCCAAACACAGAAAGGCTTAAGCTACTATTAAGCTATGAACTCTCAATATTTTGTTCTAAGCCCTGCTCATCAGTATTACTTTGTATTAACAGCATTTACATCTGCAACAAAAGTATTAGCAAAGGACAAGTCATACTTTCTGCCTGGCAGCTGGAGACTTTAGGAACCCAACCCATTTTGCAAGTCACCAACTGTAAGAATAAAATAAGATCTATAGTTGGTCCTACGTGCATTTTTTACATCTCATACCTCCAAGGCCTTACACTTGAAACACCACCCCCCCCAGCGCCCAATGACTGCATGTGGATTATCTTACCCATTCCAAAAGGAATGAATGATTCTTTCTTAATTAGCTGCCCATTTTCATCCAGAAATCTTGATGGTTGAAATTCATCTGGTTTCTCCCAAATGTTAGGATCTCTGTGTACTGACCACAGGTTGGGCACAATCACACTGCCCTTAGGAATGGTATATCCCTGCAGCACTTGAAACAAAAGCACAGAGACAGAGATCTGACAAGTTGCTAGAAGTAAACACGGGAAACATATCACTAAAAAGACAACTAGAAGATGTCATAAAAAATTATATCCATCCCTAGCAGTGGGTGGCAAATGTAGCAAAAGCTTAAGGCAAAGGTGATCTCTGCTACCCTGTTTGAGTCAGAATCACACACGCCTGAGCAGCTGGAAAGACATCAAGTTACACCAACAGCTCCCTGCAGAGAAAAAGCAGCAGCAATTGTAAGAAATGCACTCTGCAGCATGCAAATGCTGCAACCCAGTTTCCTCTTACTCCTGTGCTGTCATAGAGCCCCAGCACAGTAAAGGGACGGGTTTTGAACTGTTGTCACAAGAGGGTCTTGAAATTACTAGTCTCATTTCAGCTTGTTGCACCTCACTGTCCTGAAGCCAAAACAATTTAAAAAGATCAATTCAGTACTGGGTTTGAAAGCTGAGTATGACTATCTTACACTGGCTTTAGCCATTGCTCAGCAATAGATAAGCTGGAAAAATACGTGGAGGTCAATGGTATAAGCCTTTAACCAATGACCTGCTCTAAATTGATGTTTTCAGACCTCTGTGTCAGAATGCCAAAAACAACTCTGCTGTTTCAGGTACAAAGGTGGAGTCTCAGCTGCCAGCTACAACTAAGCATATCAGTCAATACAGGCTGATCCACGTAAAAGAAATTGCCCTAAATTAGGATGTTAGGTCAGATATGCTGCTTAAATAGAGGAGTATCTTGAGGCCACCTACTCTCTAAAAATGGCATTTTACGTACTTGGGTTACAGGTCTAACACATAAATGAGGTCTTTGTAAATTATCACTACATGTCCCATCAGATCTTCATCCCCAAAAGAAATACTGTAAGTAAGAAGTCTCTAGAAACACTTACGAGCAGTTTCTGAGGCCATTCGAGGAATAGAGAGGGGAACAACTGCAGTCATCCTCTGCACTTCCATAATGGTTGCCTCTGTGAAGGGCATTTGAGCCTTGTGAGTAAGCGAGGGAACTTTGTCACGTCCTAGAACTGCTTCAACTTCTGCATGAACCTTCTCTATTCAAAGGGAGCAAGAAAAATAAAAAATTCAAAAGATGCACAATATGTCAGGAGACATCTTCCCAATATCATCTGTCTATGCTTCATTGTTTACACAGATTTCTCAAAAATTACTTCAAGATGTGATCCCTAGCTGAAATAATTATGCCAGCATGAGCTTTAAGAAGAGGCTCAGTTAAGAAGAAAACAACCAAGCACAATTGTCAAAAATAAAGCTACTGAGATGACAGACATTGCTCACACTTCTGCATTGGAAGAGTGCAGGAAAAGTTCTGTGGTAATTCCAAATATATCCATAATCTTACTTTAAGAGGTTAATTATATATATATATATGCAGTAATTTGAATGGTGAAAACATCAAGCTTCTGCCATGCATTAAAAACCTTAAACAAAAAGAGAAGTGTGTGTAGTGTGTGCCTGCACACAGAGATATTGGAAAGCTTTTCATGCAGCTGCTTTAGACACTTCATTCTGGAGCAGGAATTCTGGTGCTGTTACTGCAAGTGTAGAAGCCATTTAACTTGTTCTTGCCACTTCTTACTTTCTATTCACAGAACCTAAACTCAGCTATTTCCCAGTTCCCCCAAAAGGCAGCAGTAGATGCTCCTTTCCCACACAGCCCTTCTGCAAAGGAAAAAAAGTTAATGAGCTATTTTCCTTTCTCATTCATGGGAAGCATAAACTGTCAAAATATTTGTTTGTCCCTTTCATCTCTCAAAGGACTCATCATCCAATTAGTTCTCTTCACAGAAGTTTCCAAGATGCAAGATTTGCTTCACCTATGTACATGCAGGATGATATGCCTTCTCTTACAGGTAACTTGGAATCTGGCTACACAGCAAAAGACAATCTTGAAAGAGGAGACCTCAAAACTACACCTTTAATCAAAAATAATAAGTCAGTTTTCAATTTTCACCTTTTGTATCCTGAATACTTTGTGGTTGTCCTGCCTGCCTTTTCCAACCAGGCTGCTGATACTCTTGAGTTTTTGCACTTTTCTCTTAGCAGTGACACAAGATTAAATGAAAGCTCAACACAAAAAAAAGTGTCCCAGTTTCCCAAGTAAAATCCAGAACTGCTGCCTGAACTGGGTTCAATGAACAGCTGCTGCCACCTAATGGTTTCACTAGTAAAAAAGTTCATGTATGAAGAACATTAAAAAACACAGCAAGAGATGTGCTGCTGATGGCATGGCCCTCCAGAATTTTCTTTGTGAGGGGTTGCTACTTTTATTAGTGACACACCATATCCCAGTATTCAGGTATGCGCAGTAATTTAAACAAAGTTTTCAATATAAAAAAATAAAATTAAGGAGACTGTCTCACGCCAAGTGTCACATCAGTGCTTCATCTCAAACAACTCATTTGTTCAGTTAGTAAAGAAATGCTGAACTATACAGAAAGCAGCCAAACTGCTGCTCACATTGCTAAGTGCAAAAACACAAACTTGAGCAGTTCTCCACTAACAGCATGATATTTGAACTGTTCCACAACTTTTCACATATTTAAAAATCTCACAGATCTTCAGAAGTTAAGGACCAAAACAAAGTCAGGGAACAGAACAAACCAAATACTCCACATGGCCTCAGCACATTGTCTCACACCAATCCTTTTTTTTTTTCCATGTAAAAAGCAAAACTGGTTTCCAAAGAGAAAAAGGTTATTCCAGATTTTTTTCCCTGATAGCCTTTAGCTTGCCTTTCCATGTCTGCAAGTAACATTTGCTACTGCTAAAAGTTACAAAATTCAGGTATTTTCTTTAGGGAAAAAACCATGTCAATATGTTTAAGAGAAACACATTACCAGAGTCAAAAAAAGAGGCCCCTACCTTACTCCAAGGCAATCAGGATACATAAGGAACAGGATACTAGAAGTAAGAGAATCACATTCCATAGCTAAGTGATACACTCTAGACTATTGAGCTTATTTAGATTACTCAACAACAGCCACATAAGGAAAGGTGGAATTGGAGAAGCAATAAAAGAGATCACCAGAAGAAGGAAAATTGACCAGCACATAGACATACAGTAACACGCAGGTAGGAAAGAGGTTAAAAAACCCAAACCAACACAACACTCTTCCAGATCTCATTTGTGTAATTTAGAATATATCTAATTCATGTAACTGCATATCAAGTCAAGCAGTGATAACATGCAGACATCAAAGACAGAAGAATAAGCCTATGCAATAAAAGTTTATTTTGCAGTTGTCCCAATGAACTCTCTCTTCCACGTATTGAACTGATGCCCCATTGTGCAATCTTTGGTCAACAAACTGGTTGACTTGGTGCAATAAACTATGATCTCGGCCTATTTAGAAGTGATTATTCTAGACAGATCAGACTCTGAGGGTAGATGAGCCTACTCAGGGTCATAACCCACTGAGTTTCGAATACTTTTAAAGTCAGAGATTCTATTAACTCTCAGGAAAATCCGCTGCACTTCTTTGCCATCTTCAACAGGGTAGTTTTTTTTTCCTAGTATCTGATTAGAATTTTCTTGTTGCAGACTGTCTCCGCTGCTTCTCTCCCTTCCACTGCACACCTCAGGGGAGACTGTCCCCATCTTCTCAGCATCTTCCAATCAGGCAGCTGTAGACAGCATAATGTTTCCCCTCAGTCATCTTTCCCTAATAATGAGCAAGATCAATTCCTTCTGCCACTTCTTTGGGGTCACGTGTTCCATGTGTCTTACCCTCCCACCCCCTGCCATCATCAACCACCTACCCAAGGCTGACCATTGAAACGACCACTCAAGACTCCTGGGGAGAGGCCTGTCCAAATACACTGACCAGCTGGTGCTCTGCACTTGTGCCAAGTCCAATTTGCTTAAACTGTCTCTGATTTGATCTTCCTCTACAGTGGACAGTGTTTCACTTCCCCAGCCTCTGTCACTAGGCTCAACAACCTCCCTGCTCAGAAGGCATAAAAGCAAACCTTACCACTATGGATCTTACATATCTTGTATCACTGCTATATGCCTGGAATGCCACAATTGCCAAAGTTTCTCAAACATGCTAAAGTTCCCTGGAATTATTTGGAAAAGATTTGCCCCAAAACAGAAGAAATGCACAGATTAAAAGGCCATTTAGTACTTAATATCACTAACCTAGAGGTCTTCAAAGCACAGGAGGATAGAAGATGTCTGATTATGTATCAGCCTTTCAAATTGCACATACACACATTGTTTCAAATGTTTCACACACACTTCAAATGATATCTGCACTGTCGCTGTTTGCTTCTGTTTCTGAGCATCCATCTAGAGCTTTACAGTCTGGAATAAGTCACCTAGAATAAAAATAGTCTTACCTTGTACTTCTGGGTAAAGGGACATGTAGAGCAGGCACCACAGTAATGTGTTGGAAGTAGTATCTGTGCCTGCAATGAAGAGGTCACCAATGATAAAAAATAGGTAGTCATCATTAAAGCTGCTCTCCTTGTTGTTCTTCTCCTCTTCCGCATGGATGAAGTACATATCAATGAAGTCCCTGGGATTTGCTGCATCCAGTGTGTCCCTGTGCTGTGCAATTATTTTCTTTAGAAAAGCAGTAATATCTAGTTCTGTTTGCCGAAGCTCCCGGAAAGGCCCAAAGGGAAGGTAGTAGAGCCAAGGGCAGATGTTGACCAGGATCATGTAGCTGTTCACGCTCAGCTCCAGTGCACGGGCCATGTTCTTCAGCATCGTCTTGAACTCAACATCTTCGTAGTTAAAACGCTTGCCAAAGGCCATGGAACAGATAACATTGGACACTGCGTTGCGAATGATTGGAAAGGGATTAAATGGATCCTTCCCATGCTTCAGCATTTCTTCCTTTATGAAGTTCAGCTCCTCAATGATTTTAGGCTCTAAGCTATGTCTCCCTACTCCAAAATGGCGCAATGTTGAGAGAGAGAATTTCCTCTGTTGCTTCCAGACAGGACCGTATGGTGCAAAAATAACACCTGAAAAAGAAAGGAAGAGTCTGAAACCAAGATGCCCTATTTTCAACAAGAAATAATTATATGGACCTGCAACCCAAGACCCAGAAAAGAGGGAAATGATACACAATAAATCCATCCCAAGCACTAGGCTAGGAGCTAGAGGAAGAACACAAGGTTCTTTATAATAGCTTTGGGAAATCTTGTTCCTCCTATTCCCAATCCATGAAATTAATATTGAAGTTACATCAGTGGTTTTATTAGTCTTTGCAAGATGGATGGAGAAGAGGTATTGTAGATGCTTCATTACAAATTATAATTTTTTAGGAACTGTTATTCTGGGACATAGATTAGCTATTGCCTTTTCTCCTCAGTGTCCTGAGATAGGAATTCCTTCAGCGAAGCAGAACAGAAGACATTAAAGCACAATCTAATTTGTATTTCTTTTCACCTTCATGTTATACAAACTTCTCAATACTTTTTGCATATGTTTCTATTACAAACAAGATTTTTCTTTAAGTTGTAATAAAAATATAGGATACACATGCTCTGAACGAACCGGGAAGGTAAAGACAGCTTCAGAGCCACTTGGCAAAAACCTGCTTGATTTGCATCTCAAACTGCATCAGTTTTGATGCCTCCAGGCACTTGTTCTACATGATTGTGTCATTATGAAACACCATTTAAATTAACTCCCTTAGCTTCAAGTATAACTATTGCTCACTTACAAACAGAAATATCTCTTCTGTTGAATTAAAAGACCACGCCAAAGACATCGCAGGGTGACAAACACACAACCTGCTATATCTAATGTTAATGGTTAACTTGGTGTCCTCAAGTAGGGTAAGTGAAAAAACAGGCATATTCAGGGCTGAATTTGGCCAAGAACCAACATTTCCAAGGTTTGTGGCTGGGGTGGAAAAGAAACATGGATTTTTTGGAATAAAACAAAGTTATCACTATTTCTATCCCACAACAAATATCTCAAAACCAGACTACATATCCACAATCTGTTCCCCTTTCTGTCATTAGGAAAGTAAGTTTTAGGATTCAAATACTTTCATAAAATAAAACCAACCTGTTGTCTTGAATGTAAAAAAGACTCTCGTAGTGCCCCAGAAAAGCTGACACCAACAACATACCTTCCCACACCCAGAGTCTCTCCAGCAGTCCTGCACAGGGCGTGGCCGCATACCACGGTGTTTTCTGACATCCTGAAACCCCAAATTGCTGCAGAATACTAATAACTGATTTGCAAATAGGGAAAGAATAATACAGGAGACAGACTGAGGAGGAAGAAGAGCATGAAGTTATAGTAACAGAGATAAGAGGAGAAAGCAAACTGTCAACTGGATCACTACTAAGCTACACTAACAGAATAGTCCTTTGCTGTTTTCAAAGAAAATCTCTGCCTGCCCTGAAAAGTCAAGGTACCCAGCATAGACAACTCTACTCTTTAAAAAAAACAAAACAACCCTAACCAAAAAACCAAAACCTCCCACAAACTAAAGTAAAATAAAACAAATAAACAAAAACCTGAAGAAAATACAATAATGAAGCAACAAGAATAACCAGGACTTCATGCTCATCGCAGAAGGCTAATTCAACGAACTGATAATGAAAACCTTTCAATACAACCAACAAACTCATAAGAACCAGAGTTCATTTTCTTCTTCTTTTTTACATGAAAAGAATTTAAATCCTTACAAGAAGCAAGTTCTGGCAACAGCTAATTTACCCTCCCTCCCCCCCATTTCTTTCTGCTAGCTTTAGTGTTACTGCAATACTGGGAGCATTGACCAACACAGAATTCATGACCTTAACACTTAACTTCTGTGTTGTCAGATGTCCACATCTGGATGTGCACAGGGCAGGGCTAAAATGGTAGACAACCACTCAGACTCCATCCCCTCTAGAGACTGAGTCACTGCTACCTCTCATAGATATAAAATACAAAAACGCTTTACTAAAACAAAACCACCAAAGTCTACATTTTCCCCCAGTCTAGTATTTTTCTTCCCACAGATGTATGTGCAGAAGCCTTCAATTAAGACTTAACTTCTACCGTCTCCCTTAAGTTCTCATGGAACTTCCCATCCAGCCAAGGAGGTCTCCCTTCTTTACTAATCAAGTCGTTGAAATACAGTATTTGCCATTTCTGATACTTCTACTTGCTCTCCCCCAGGCACAATATTCCATTTGCATGTCACACACAATCAAGCCACAAAGCTAAGATAAGCCCTGCTTTCTTCCATACCATACCCAGCAGGTCAGCTCAGGGTAAAGACAAAACTATGACAGAAAATGTAGCTTACAAGAAAATAGCCCTGTAAGTTCATACCCTGTAGCTTGCTTATAGAACAAAGATATAGAAACCCAAAATGAACACTTACTGACTCAAAGCGTCCCAGTGCTGTAGTACCCAAGTTGTGACCAGCAGATCTGAAGTTACCCATCATCCTGCTTTTATCATTTCCTTTCCTAGTACATATTAACACAACTGCCTCTGTCCTGACCTGCAGCAAAGTCTCACCACAAACTCCTGAACCTATGTTCAGGAGGCTCTCAGACCAGCTTTCAGAGTTCTCCAGTTTGAGTGTTGTAACCCATTGTCCTCCTCCATGAACCACAGACAAAAAAGAAAGAGTAGTTATCACAAATGTAGCATCACAGATGTTCAGTCATCTCCTTCATGCTACCACTAAAGAGTAGTTATCACCAATGAAGCATCACAGACTTTCAGTCATCTCCTTCATGCTACCACTAAACCCAAGCCAGCCCAGTGACAGCACCTGTAACTTACACTGGCTTTTGGAGAACCAGCAGCCCGCACTGCCCACGTTCACTGACTTTTCCCTTTGTATACTCAAAATACACCACCCCTGTGGTTCATTCTACAACACTCCCACATCTGTGGCAATTCAACACTCCCAAATCTGTGGCACCAGTGAACATAAGCGCTACACACCAGATCAGGATGTTTTATGGAACACTGGGCAGCCCTCATGTAACAGTCCTCGTGCCTGAGCACAGTTACAGTGACCTTCCAGATAAAACTAAACGTAAAGCAATGTAATGTCCCTGCTGCAGTGCAACACAGGCAGGCACAGTCCCTGGACTTGGCTGCAGCACGCTCTGGCTCTGGACAACAGGCTCCTTCCACAGTCAACTTCCCTGGAACATCCACTAGTGAAAGCAGCTAATTGCTCTTGCTAACCTTGGTTCACCATGTTCAAAAAAGCCTGTCAGAGACCATGAAACACGAAATACACAGTACTTAAGGAAAAAGAAATCCACCATGAGCTTAAACATGCAGTTTTACAGCACCGCTAAAATTATCTAACTCCTCTTCCCTTTTCCTCCCCCAGTTCTTGCTAGAAGTACTGTACCTAAAAATACTCACGCATGATAGTGTGCCAGCAATATCTATCCCAGATCAATATAATTTATAATTTATTTTTTTATTTTTTAAACCAAGTTCAGCAATGGTACCTGATCACATTTTGATAAACATGATCTAGGTCTCTCGCTTTCCTCTTATCCTTACAAGGGTAATTCTGGTTCACTAAAAACAAAACAAAACAAAAAAAACAAACAAAAAAAAAAACCAAACCAAACAAACAAAAAACAAACACAAAACTCAACAACAAATTTAAGATAAGTTGATAAAAAATAAAAAAAGATAAGTTTCACAACAAGCTAGCACACTAACAAGCCTTCTGGGCTACACTTCCTAACTGGAAATGGAAAATTAGTTTTCCACAAACACCGACATCCATAATGACCTAAAAACTAAACATGAAGAAATTCTAACTGCAGTACTGCCAATATGCATTTACAGTCTCCATGCCCTCTTCTTGCAAAAGCTAGTAAACTCTCCTTTGACCTGTAAAAAAACCCCAATAAAAAACAAAACCAAAAAATAACAACAAAACAAACAAAAAATCCCAAAAAACAAACAAACAAACAAACCACAAACCCAAATATACTCAATAAGTTCTGACAAGCAGAATAATACACCTGCAAACATCTCAGCAACAGTAGCTTGCACACAGGCAGCACAGACTGCACAGCTACAGGACTCCACAGAAACCTGCTCTTTGCCATTGTTACCTTGGTAAGAACTGGGGAAGCACTCATTTTTGTACCACTGCCAAAGTTTGGAAATTTCTTCTCCTGACACAGTCAAAATCAGAAAGCCCTTACATGACAGACCAGTGGTTCCTTAAACCCCTGCACAAATGCCAGTCACAGAATCAATTAGGTTGGAAAAGACCTCTAAGATTGAGTCCAATTTATGATTGAACAACACCAGGTCAACTAGACCATGGCACTAAGTGCCATATCCAGTCTTTCCTTAAACACCGCTAGGGATAGTGACTCTACCACCTCCCTGGGCAGCCAATTTCAAGGCCTAATCACCCTTTCTGTGAAATTCTTCCTAATGTCCAACCTAAACCTCCCTTGGTGCAGCCTGAGACCATGTCTTCTTGTCCTACCACTGGTTGCCTGGGAGAAGAGGCCAACCCCCACCTGGCTACAACCTCCTTTCAGGTAGTTGGGAGAGCGATAAGGTCCCTCCGAGCCTCCTCTTCTCCAGGCTAAACAACCCTAGCTCCCTCAGCCACTCCTCGGTTCCTTTACTGTGAATAGAGCTAAAGGGATCAGACATTTCAGTCATCCGGAGGTGGGCTGTGGTGCACAGCACAGCACTGCCCAGCTCACGGGGATGCTGTACGTCCACCTCAAGGGAGAGCGAGTTTCTCTCTGCGTGCTTTCGGTCAGCAGCAGGGTGAAGGACACACGCTAGGAGCAAAAAGCAAGTAAATGGTTCATTCTGCAATTCACAATAGTTATTAATAAATTTTGGCACAGCAGCCACGAGCCCCGCTCGCAGTTCCCGCTCGGTATCATCGCCCTGGCCATCCATCAGGGTACGACAGCTCCCCGAGCGACACCCGCCGGGGCGCCCCCAGGCGCTTACCCTTGTTGTGGGTGATCATGAGGACGATGGGCACGGAGGGCCGGTCGCTGAACACCTCCGCCTTCTGCACCAGCGCCTCCCGCACCGCCTCGAAGGTGTTGAGCACGATGAAGGGGCGGCTGCCCACGAAGAGGCGGAAGACGCTGCCGTACATCTTCGTGAGGCTGGTGAGGAAGACATGCGGAGAGAAGGCGGGGGAGACGCGGCCGCAGTCCCGCACATCCACCGCCCACCGGCGCAGCAGCGGCGGCGGCAGGAGGGCGAAGGCGAAGTTGCCCACGAGCGGCCAGGGCGCGGGGCCCGGCGGCAGCCCCGACAGCGCCCGCGGCCGCCGCCGCAGCAGCCAGTAGCAGCCGAGCCAGCACAGGGCCGCCAGCAGCAGCTCGGTGGCGGTGGGCGGCCGCAGCAGCCACGTCCAAGCCGCCGTGCCCGGCGCCGCCATCTCCCCGGGCGGTGGGACCGGCGCGCTGGCCCCGCTGCCGGCGAGTAGCGGTTTAAGATGGCGGGGGCGGGCAGGAGGCGAGGCCCGCGACGCCCTGACCCCGTCCCGCCGGGTCTGTGGGCGGGGAGCGGGGCCGGGCTCCGGTACCGCCGCCGCCTTCAGCGGTCAAAAGCTGGCTCGGTGCTTGGACACAGTCGAAGTTTAAAAGATGTCGTTAAACATAAGCACACAGGTTCAGCTAATGGCGGAAGAAAAAAAAAAAAAGAGAGAGTGCTCCCCACAACCTCATAGGACTTGCTTTCAAACGCTTCTTCTGCAAGCATCCATTTTTAGTGGAAATACAGATGATCCTTCTTCCCCCTTCCCCAATAGAAAAGCTGGAAGTTCTAAGTAGTAGACCAAAATGTTCTGTTTTCATAACCGAGGACTAACCCAGAAACATGTCTCAGCTCTAGGTTAAAGCAACTGCTTGGCAAACACAGAACAGCACAGAGAGGCTTATCACATCTGAATTTTAAGTTTAGAGGAAAAATAATTTTAGTTCTTTCCCACAAATAAATAAATAAAACAAAAACCCCAACAAAACAAACAAAAAACCGAACAACAAAAAAAACCCACAGACACCACCCCTCCACACACACACACCACACAGGAAGAGCTCTTGATACCCCCTCACCAAAAGAGAAGAGCACTGTGGGCAAGACACAAGTACACCATCTTTAAAGTGATCCCCCCCCAAAAATAAAAAACCGCAGGGAACAAGAGGTGCTTATCCACTCTAAACAGTGTTGTTAAAAAACTTCTTTTTAAATAGTTAAGCATTCCATAAAGATAGTGACAAGTGGCTCATAAAATAGTGGCTGAACTGTATTAAAAAGGTTTTATTGCAATTTTACAGAAGTTACAGGAATTTTAGAAATACATAAAGCTTCAAATGGTCAAGGTCAGCTTTCCTCCAAACAATTAAGGCAACCGTCTCTTTAATCTAAACAGCAAATGGACATTTTACTAGCCATGGATTAAAAAAAATAAAAAAACCCTAAGAACACAGATTTAAATTAGCAGAACAGAATGCATCTTTTTTATATATATTTGGCAGAAATTCAGTGGTTAATTACAATGTACACCAATAAAATGCAACTATTAGAAAAAATATAAAAAGAACAGGTGAAAATTTAGCTGAACTAAAGACATCTTAAATCTGAGTCTCAAGAAAATTTTAAATTCTACAGTGTGAAAATAAGCTATTCAGCACAGCTGAAACACACTACTGGTTTTGCCCGTTTTCTTTATAGAACAGTAATCTAGTCTCCCTTCCCTCTTAGTCTAGTCAAGAAGTTACACTAGATAAAAAAAAAAAAAGCCTGCCTTCCTTCTGTATGCAATTGAAAGATTGGTTTCAGTGGTGTATGACCAATTCAAGCTTGTCCAGAGATTAAATTCCACATTAATTTTGATAAAAATAAGATTACTTTCATACTTTTAAATCAAGTTAATGATCAAATGTACATTTTGCTCTAGCATATCAGTACATAAATGGATGTTTCACGTTAAAATAATAGCTATTGCAACATTAAAATCCATTTTTTCAATTAGTACTAAATAGCCTCTTTATAGAGCATAAAATTAACAGCAAAACAATACGCATGTACTAATATTCTGCTTACCCCAAATAACTACATATACAAGTTTTAGCACTATAATGCTTCCCATGGAAATCATTCTTCCTCAGTCCTAGTAGCAGTGTAATAAAAACCCACCCTCCCTTGAATTCTGCATTTAAGGAAAAACCATTCTTCAAACTCTTTTACCTCAAATTGAGTAATCAAAGCATTTGGTGACTTTACTTTTAACAGGTAAAAAACCCCTCCATATAACAAACAAAAATCCCCATCAGAGTAAAGACTGTCATTAAAACAAGCATTTGAAATAGAATAGTTCAAAGGAACTTATTTTTCTTTAAAGATAACTAAGTTACAGAGTTAAGGCCCAAGCAGAAACAGTAGAAATTTAATTAACACAGTAAACTCTCAAAAGAAACATAATATTCTTTTCTCAAACTTTGAATCCTATCAACGTTTATGACTATTGAGCAGCTATTCTCTATAGTTACTGAGTTAGCACCCATTCTCTTCAAGTATGGGCGGTGGTTTTATATGCTTTATTTACATTTGCAGGCAACTTTTGGATTTTTATTTCCACAGGCACTTTATTCATTAAAAAACACTCTCCTTGCCAAAAGAATATTGAAAATATTTGAAATCTCTGAGTTAGACTAGTGCACTGAAACATGTTTTTGTAACACAGCAAATGCTAAGGCTAAAAAAAACACAGTCAAGTGCATGTCACATGCTCGCAAAGGCTTTGTTTTTTGCAGGGCATTCAAACCTGCAGCCATCTATCTCTTTATATTTCTGTAAATATTGCACTTTTTTTTTTGTAAATTAAAAAACAAAAGCCCTTTTTCTCTGAAGCATCTAGTAATTAAGAGATAGGAAAGTTATATTTCAATGTGGCTTAGGACTGTTACGGATGACTTTGTTCTATCTTTGGCTCTTCCAAGTGTCCTACTATTAAAGCAGGCACTGAGACAAGTAGCAAGACACAATCTAGACTATTGCTACTAGATTATCCCTCTTCACTCAAGAAAACCCCCAGCAGCTCACCCTGATTTTATCTCAGATGACGGGTTTCTGCTTTAAATTAAGTTACTTTAGCCATGGAATATTCTTTGCATTGACACAGAAGTCCATAAAACAGATCTTTTACAAGCCCATACTCCTTGACATGCAAGGTGTATGTGACTCAAGAGAACTTATTACAGTATATGAAAGAGAACAGTTTAGGGACCAAAACCTCAGAGCACAACCACTTTAGAGCAGAGGAATGTGCTGCAGTGTTCCAGGCTGCACCCTGCTGACTCACCAGGGTGTACCTGGACATGGCATCCACTCTGCCAGGTTCACGTGTCCATATCAAATACAGCATATTTATTTCAGAGTTGATTACAGTAGGCTTGCCGTATGTGTCACAGGCAGGCACTTTTACAACTGCAAGTTGACATGGAAGGGGCCTTTAGAAAGAGAGTCTTGGTATTCTCCATGGGTAGAAAGTGTAGGTACTGCTGCCCAAAAATGCCTCCTGAAAAGACTGGGAAGTGCACTGTCCTTCATTATATACAAAAAAATTCATAACCAAAGGCAGGGAGGGAAGAAAACAATAACTTCTGCAACAGAAGGCACAAGAGTTTTTTGTCTTAAGAGAACGTTGTTTGTGAAGCTTTCAAACAAAGCTAGAAAGTTACATTGCTGTTCCACAACCTAAATAATCTAGTTTAACGTCCTTTCATGAGTTTTTATAATGTCCTACAATGAACAGCCTTGATAATTACATCAAATTTCAATTCTGTTCTTTAGATATGGTTACATGGTCATGTTCCTTCACAAGTTTGTTTTTTCGAAGTTTCAGCAAAAGGTGGATCTACCCTGCATAACTGGTGTTCTCCTGCTGCAGCTTTGTGCATTTCACATCCTCTCTGTCTCTGAGGCTTCAACAATGATGATGAAGCCAGAGGATGATTTTCTTTAAACTACTAGCTTGCACCTTAATCCTGCCAACACAACTCTCGTATTTCAGACTGAGTTTCAGACGACTAGCTATCTTAAGAATGTATGAAAACTTAGACTTGGACATGTAGTTTAGACCAACATATACACTTCTAATGTTTTCCTGCATTAAAATACTTACTTTGCAGTTTTTATATAAAATAGAAATAGAAAAGGGTCATTTATATTAAAAGCATCGGGAACAGGCTCAAAATGTAGAGAAATTTTGCTTTATTGAAAAGATGTCAAAACAGCTTTCCTTAGTGTTCATGGGTAAGAAGAGAATACCAGCTCTTAATAATATTTGAGATCATTAGCACCATAAATGCATATAGGTTTCTGATTTTTAAAGGTATGGGTGGTCATGTAAGTAGTCCAAAGTATTGCATTTGTCAGTACACAGGCTGACCACAAAAAATTTCTACTTGTATGTGCCAACTAAATGACATAACACAACTTCTTTAACATGTTTTTACCAAATTCATGGCCAACAATGCAAATGATCATGACAGATAGCACCTTTGGAGACAAAAGCTAAAAGATGCTCATGTTATTGCTTTTTTTAAAGTACAGCTAGTGCAATAGGGATTTTGGGGGTTTGTTTTTCTTTTTTTTATACAGTGAACAGATTGCAATATCTTACAAATCACAACTCTAGCTCTAAGTCTCTCTTGCACGCATACAGCAAACCACAACACTCACAGTTACCTAACCAAAATAGCTGACATCAGCTATAAAGCGTCATCCTGAAAGTCTCACAAGATAAAAGTCAACTCTTGCTAATTGTGAACAGTTTATGTAAAAATGAGGCCCAGTTTGCAAACATTAGTGGAAACTACAGCACAAAAGGTCTATAAGTATTATCATTTGTTATTGTAGCATTATGTTGTGCAGTGTTTGCAGAACTGGACCCTAAAGCCATAAACCCCTGCCATTTATTAGCTCCTTATCGTGCACGCATTACAGCATTCCTACATTACCAGGTAGGGTTCCTCAGCAGCCAACAGCTTTTCTTGCCTAATTTTTCCAAGGTTGGATATATAGCTCCAACCTATGTACAGAACTACAGATTCAACCTAGGAGAAATCATGCAAGAAAAGCTGTCAGCCAATGAGCATGAAAACATGTTGCAGTTAAAAGCAAAGTCTCTTGCAGTGTTTTTACAGAAGTGTTTACAGTTCTCAAAGTCACATGGAAAGCACGAGAACATCAGCCATCAGACCATTATTTCTGCTTTTACTTTCAGGTTCCTTGGTATGACCCTGACTTCACGAAGCTGCCAGAACTCATCTTTTTCACATCTCACACATGCTCTCCTGAATCAGGAAAACAAACACAAACAAACATACTGAACATTTAAAGAGCAAGAACTGATTCCTGAGAGAAAAAAACCAAAGTATGTCCTAGCATGTTAGGTTTTGTATTTAAAAATACTTTCAAGTCTCAAATTGTGCAAAGATGTGTCTGAAAAGAATGCCTTTTGGCTTTAGGGTTAATTATGGAGTCTTCTCAAATGTAAATCCTACTCTTCTGTATTGAGCCATTTAGAAGAGGCAGAC